GAAACATAAACATTGTCCCGTATCATTATTGCTCACAAACACACAATTCCGTCCGGGCAAAAATGGCGAAGAGAGGAAGTGTATGAGCGGGAGGGCGAGCGTGAGACGCGGCTCAATTCCGATGAGCAGCAGACAACAAAAGAAAATTGTCCGACTTACGAAATGGAAAATAAACAATCATTAAATGACTTCATGACCATCCACATTTCCGCCTGAAGCATTCAAAACGGCAAATTTCGAAATGGGGACAAAAACCAAGCACCGAATACTTACGCACATACACACCAAGCCTGTTGTCAAAGGAATATTTGATGCGATTTTATTTACTTGAATTCTTGACGCTGTGTTTTTTACAACCGTTTATAGTGTTGTTTTCTTTTCGGTTGTTCTGAGCTTGATCCGTGAGTTTTTATTCGTTTTTGAAAAAAAAGAACGTTGAAAGACGTGTCAGCCGCATTTCAGCCGTCGTATAAAATGCGTAAACTTTCCATGGTTCGACATATTTTTTCTTCTCTTTTGGTTGGATCTGTTGATATCTTTGCAGCCTCTTTTTTTCTCGTCTTCTTTTTCCCTTCCAATCCTTAATGTCTTTAGCTGATACATTAGCTAGCATATTACACGCGCATGAGAAGTGCGTAAGTATTTTCAAGAAAATCGTCCAGGATTTGTTGGTCTTGATGTTTATTTTTCGGTGTGGCGTTCGTGCATTTCGGCTGTGTGTGGGTACGCGTTTGAAACGCACTGAACAGCCATAACAATAATAATAACAACAAAAGAGAGAAGAAAACTCTCGTCGAAATATTGCCACTGTGCTATTGTTTACAACTTATCAAACTCTCACTATGTGTGTGTGTGTGGGTTCGTGTGCGGCGTGAGTCTCTTGCTTGATTTCGAAATTACAACTCAACACGCACCAATCTCTCGAACCCAAACACTGGTCCCATTGCGAACGAGAAAACACACACACACGGGTGGACACGCGGAGAGGGTGAAAAAGAAGCAGCAGCAAAAAATGGATCTCAATAGTGAAAATTGTGCGTAGCATGGTAAGCGGTAAAAGGGCACGAAATCGAAAATTATGGCGGCATGTGTACGTAAATTATCTCCTTTATCATCCCCTGAAACCAAAAGGCGTTGCCATTTCTATTTTCAAGAGATGAAATCGAAATGATAATAGCACAAAACCAGAAGCAAAATGAAAACAAGAAAGAAAAAACAGAACGAACATCCAACGAGGGAAAGAGAAAGAGATAGAGCCAGTCAAAAGAAAACGTATAACAAACTCTGTATTCTTTTGCCAAATATATCGATAAAAAAACGAATCAACATTGAGAAATTTGCTGGTGTCTTTTTCTATCTTTTCGATAGGATATCCGAATGTATCAACGATTTGATGGTATGGCCGTTAAGAGTGAAACGAATGTCAGAAATGGGCTTGATATTAAAACAAAGCACTTTCGTCTCAATTCTTGATGGCTTCAAAAAAAAAGGAGAGAGAAACGTATTAACATTTAAAGGCTCCACTAAAACCATAATATTAAGTAATTGCTCTGTTTTATCTTCGGATTAGATCCTATTTGAGCCCAAACGAGAAGGCTAAATGAAACGAAAAGATTGAGGTAACGCATTGAAAGTTCCTGAGTGATTTTTGTTCTTCGATTGATGAGGTTATTTCGTTTTTTGTTTTCCTGGTTTCTTTCCCGAAAACACCGAAATTCACGCTTTCATCATGATTAATTAAAACGAAGAAAAAAAGTATAAACCAAGGGTTGCGAATGAGTGACCCAGGAAAAAAAGTAAATCTCTGCAGAAAAAAAGTCCATCTCATGGATTTATACATTCTATTTAGTCGTTGCAAATGATGTCCGTGCTCTGTGTTCTTTGTCGTGATCAACAACAGTGTCATCTCCATAAAAGCGTCGTACTTATGTGCACAGCACTAGCACAATGCAAACGATAGCATGTAACACAAAGCTGCTTACATTGAATGCCATAAAGAAATCACTATGCACGAACACTGTACACCTTCAATGGTTCGCCAGATAATGTCTTGTGTAGTTTTGTGTTTCAAGTTGGATTTTGTTCGCATTCATCAAAAGCATGCACATTTGTGCGGCCGTTTCTGCTTTGGATGGTTTCTCTCAGATAAAATTGAATCCGCAACCGTAACTTCTTTTCTGCAACCGTTCACTAAATACTCCCATATCGAGACTCAAAGAATGGATCGCTTCGCACGCAATATGAACCAGATAGATAATAGAAGTGGAACAGTAGGGAGTGAGAGAGAAAAAGGATTCCATGAAAATCAAGAGAATCCATCATGAATGTACATGACCGGAGCGAGCACTTGTTTGGGTCGCTATGAGTGGTAGATGTCGAGCTGTGACGCAAAATTAAATGAATAAAAATATTACCGTGAAGGTGAAACGAAGAAAAGGGATCGGATACCGAAAAGAATTAACTTTTTCCCGTGTTATTTTCTTTACTCATATTTTTTTTTCTTCTGCGTATAAAGAGAGAGAGAGAAAAGGCGGAAAAAGGGAAAGATAAAAGTATTGTGAATGTTATACTTTGTGTGTGTGTTGAATATCTTAAACAAATAAGAAACGGAAGACCTTTGATGCTCAAAGGTGCTCAACGGATTTGCTTCAAGCAGTTGTTCATATCCATGAGGTTTGCCTTTGTTTTTATTGCCATTTTTGAAACTGCATTTTCAACGAGGCAAAAAACAATGGAGAAGCAAGCGACAGCGAAAAAGGACTGTATAGCACGCAGAAACCAACACCAATAGATAAAATGAAATAGAGCCTGTGGGTGAGTGACGTATCGATAGCAAAAAAATATCAAGCGTTTCATTTCATATGAACTCAAGTAAGGTCAAGAATTACCAATATTTCATTTTTAGTTTATACGAAAATCTCTGGGATAATTTTCCGTGGAGAAAATTCAAGTAAGGCAACTCAATTATTCTGAAGTGCATATTTCAATGAGGCAAAGTTCATGCTTTCAACATCATTCGACTGGTAATGATATCGTTGCGCTGTCATGAATTTCATTTGGACACAAAGGAGTCGAGCGAGAAAAGAAATAACGCTTTATACGTGACCTTTGAATTCAAGTCTTCAATATGACTGTCATATTTTCATGGGAAAAAGGCCACGCGTTTGATAAGTGTCTTTGTTCCTCTATCGATGATACTGTGTTTCGTGTTCATTGGTGGGATTCCAATTTTTATACCTATTAATTTTTTTCTCTTGTTCTGTTCCTGGAAGCAGCTTTACAAGTAAGTATTAACAATGAAAAAAGATGGCGTTTCCTCATTTTTTTTCGGTTCGTCGAATGCTTCGCTTTTAATCCTTTCCTCCAATTTAATTTGAGATCTAATTTCAGTTTTCACTTCATGCTGTAATGAACGCAGATACTTCCCTCCGAATTCTTGGGCAATTTGTAATTACAACAAGTGTGCGGGCTCAATGATGAGCCCGCCAACGCAATTTTTCAGCCTTTATACGTACATTCAATAAAATATGAAAACGTCAGCTTTGCTAGCTGAAATTTCCGCGAAAAACGCAAAAAAAGGAAATGAAAAGAAATGAAAAACGGAAGGATATGTCTCTGCTTGACGTTGCGTAGCATCCAATGTGGATTTAATATTTTAGTGCGTTGTATAAACACAAGTCGTGCTAATATTTTATGATAATTCGGTGTGCATGATATTTTTGCCATTTTTTTTTCTTCTCTATGCTCTCGACATCATTCTCTTATCCATTCGCTATTCGCGGCGTGATATTTTCTTACACTCTCGCTCTCTGTCTTACTCTCCATTTCGAGGAATGGTGGTGTCGGTTCTAACGGCTTTAAAATGCTTTCCACGCATATTCATGCATGTAGCGTTCTCTCTCGCTCTTGCAGCACATACACACACTCACTTCAATTAAGTGTACGAGTGCGAGTGTGTTTTAATATATGCAAGATAGCTTCCTTCGGCCCCATCTGAGTGGCGTTGAATAAGCAGCACACACCATTATCACGTTCCTCTCAGCAACAACATTTGAAATTTTTTTTTTCTTCTTCTTTCAACATCTTCTTGCGTTTCGGTGACTACGTCTTTTGCACTTCTATTCACGAACGATTGACACACCAAGAGCATTCTCTCATGCGTTTTGGCATTATAACACATACAAACACACACAGGAAAAAGTAGCATCGTTTAGAGAAAATTGTCGATTCAATATATAAAAACAGAAACTTGGTGCAAAGTAGCAAATGCGAAACGCTGTTCCTTGGTGTGCCAACGAAAATTTATGGATATGAGAAACTGTCACACAGAGAGGCAAAATCGGCAGGCGACAATAACATCATCGTCTTCGTAGTTGTCGTCGTCGTTGTTGGTAGTATTGGGCGCAAAATCATTCTTGCAAACAATGCCATCGAATCCACTGAGGTTGCTGCTTTATACCCCGATCCACTTTAGCGAATGTGCGTCGCTTGAAAAAGTTATTTAGAAAAAATTCTGTGTTAATTTAATCATATTCACGTAGATTAACACCCAAGATCTTGATGTTTCAATACCGTCAATTAACCTGAAGTCGAGGACGACGACGAGCATCATCACCGCCTCTATTGCTCTCGCTGTCACCCTCGTTTGCTATCTTCCCGTAACGCAACTTGAACACATTTAATTTATGAATTTCACTTAAATGCGAATGCGAGTACTTTTCGTTATTTGGTAGGAAAAAAAATTCCTTTCTCTTCTAATTTTCATTTTCACGCAATTTTAATGGTGTTTTTCTCATTTTCTCTGCTGGAATAGTAGCTATGTTTTGAATATTGGAAAAGGCGCAAAAATCTCGTAAAAATTTTCCGAAACAAAAAAGAGAGCGAGCGAAATACCGAAAATTCATGATAAAACAAAAAGACGTAAACATAAAGATAAATATCAAAACACACAAAAAAGTGGTCATAAAAATATTAATAAAATAAATGTAATTTTTGCTTACCCGTCGATTTAACTCGGAACTGAACTCGTTGAGTTTTGGGTTGCTGTTGCGATTCCCGTTTCTGCGTCTGATTTTTGTTCTTTTACTTTGTTTCGTTCGAGTTGCTTCGCCGTTTTTCGTTTGCACTTTTGTTGTATGTTATCAGATTTCCCTTTGATTTTTTGTTGTTGTTGTTTGAGTTTGGTGGGCTGGTGGGTGTCGCTCTTTAAAGTTCGAGGCTTTTGGCTATCGAGAGATTCGCAGGTAAACGACGACGACGAAGAAGAAAAAAAAACAGAGAAAATTGGAATCAATGTTCAATGGTTATCGTTCTTTTATCGATTCTCTTTTCCAGTTTAAATGATATTGGCCGTGTTAGTCTCTGTTGCTCACACAAAGCGTGCGTCGTCCTCACTTCAGAAGCTATGGCACAGGTGTGCAAAAAATTAGGTGAAAATTGTCTTGCGTATGGCTATGTCTCTTTTTTTTGCGTGTGTGAGTGTGTATGGCCCTTATTATGAGGATAATTCACACTCAATATTTGATGACCTCTCACTCTTCTTTTTCTCCCTCTGTTTTTTTTCACGAACATAAAAGGAAATATTCACAAACTTTGTCTCGATACTTTTTTTTTTACTTCGTTCTGTGTTTATTTTTATGCCTCTTTGCAAGAAATAGTCTTTCGTTTTATCTTCTAAATCGGTTTGTCGACGGGAAATATGCGTTCTTCAATCGTTATATACACAGACACACGAAACAAAAACGACCGAAAAAAAAACAATAACAACAACTTTGCTTTTAGCCGCTGAATAACTGAAGAGGATATAGTTGGCCTGTGGAATTTTTGCCTCTTGATGTGATGGATTATTGCCCGAGTTTTCTATTCACTTAAAATACCCCGTATTCTCTTGCTCTAGGAAAAACTGCCCAATGTTCTTTGTCCGGCCTTTTGTTTAGGTGAAGTGGCTCTTTGTGTGCAACACAATCAATCAAAAAAAAAAGTTTTTCGACCGAGTTTGGATTTCACAATGAAAATGGTACTCGATTGAGAACTGCTTGACTTATTTTTTTTTGTTGTGTTTTGCACCACTCAAAATTGCAGGAAGTCCACTACAAATTTCAACGATGACTATTCTTGTTGTGCGTCGATAGGACGCAAATGGCAAAGTTTGGCCTACAAAATTTTCTTTATTCTCTCGCTTTTACACACTTCTGCTCAGTACCGTTTTTCGTTTTTAACTAAATTTTATGTTTGCTATCGATTCGATGACAAAACACGTAACGATTCTTACATAAGTGATTTGTAAAATCGTTCAAGCAAAATATTTTTACACGAAAAACTAAATCACCTTGCATTTACGAATTGAAGTGATGTGAACTTTCAGATTGGTTTCATTTATATATTGCTGTTTTTTTTGTATTGTTGTTGTTATGCTTCTTCTTTTCTTTGTGTTTTCATTAGAACTTTCATACTTGATCGTAGATAAAAAGAGCGAATTAAATTAAATAGCAAATTGGCTGCTTTTTCTTTGTATTGTTTTATGGTAAAATAAAGACAAATCACAAAAATGGTGGTTGAACTTCTTTATCTCCCTCTTTCTGTTCGGTTGGTTTAACCAAAAGAAAAAAAAAACTTAAAAACGATAGAACTTTTTCTTTCCCGTACAAATTATCGGTTCACAATTTCAACAGTTTTTCTTTTATAACGTTTCCGTTTACTTGACACACGTTCAACGTTCGATACACGGCTCCTTTTTTTGTCAAGCACACCGACAAAACAGAAAAATAAATTAATTAATTTTAAAAGATCGTTGCTACGTTGGTAGTGTTTCAGTAGTTGATGCTATTTTTACAATTTTCAATTTTATGCACAAGAAAAAAAAGAATACCAAAATTATGTTTCTTTATTTTTACTCGTCGTCAATTACTACTTTTATTCTTTTTGTTTCTGTTTCAAACCGAAAATGACAACGAATTTCCTCTGTATGTATAAATTTCTCTCTAGGTCGGATATTCAGATCTTTGAATAAATCGGATTCTGTGTATAAATAAAGATTTTACTTTGCGAGAGTTTTGATGTGTTGTTTTTGAGAGACGAAACGCCTGGCGTGTGCTTTACGTTCGGTTGACCGTATTGTATTGAGCGAGGTTGTCACGAAAATTTTCTATCGTGCGGTAGCTCAGTGGCTTCGCTTACTAGCACTTACGCTGATGATGCTGACTACCATTTGAGCTGTATAGATTGTGTGTTGTAGAGGCGCGAGCGATACGCGATACGCGTTTGTTGCTGAAGCACAGATAGAGCCGCCGTCGCCATCGCATACACACAAAATTCACAAGCGTTATTATTCTCCACATTTCGATATGCATGTTGATTTATTTATTTACCTCCTGACATCCGTCTGATTTCTTGCTCGCGCGCGCAATCCAACCGTCGTACACACCAAGCGAGTCGCCGATCGGAATCCATTCACATGTCGCACTCGTCGCATTGTCGTACGAATGCTTTTCGCTTTTCGGCAAATCGATTCTCGTACGTATGAGTGTATAAGTAGGTGACGAGAACAGTTAAGTGTTTGCATACCAATACAGTTGAGTGCATGCGTTATAAACATACAACTTGTTTTCGGCAATCGCATGCTTGCGTTCGTATGCACGCACACACACACACACACGCCGTCAGCCAAACTTCAGTCTGCGTAGTAAACACAAGCTTTTCCGTTTGGATATTCAGCAGCAGTAGCAGCAACCGAACTACGCAAGTTGCACAAACCGAATTTGCCCCTTTATGCTGAATTGCGTTCGGTGTTGCCAAGCTATTGTGCACGAACGACCGTTATACGCTTGCCGTATCATCGTTGTTTACATTCAACACGGGCTACTTCATTCGCTTACATAATATAACATTCATTGGCAATGCGATGGCAATATAAACATAGAGTCACATGTGTTGAGCCTTGCCTCGGGAATCGATAAGAATACGGTGCGCTTACGATAAAAAAGCGCGCGCTCGAGAATGGCCTGCACACAAACGCCATACATACACACATACACTTTTGAATTTGGTGGAGTAGATGGAAAATGTAGCCTGTGTAAATAGGGCTTGATATCGCCGCTATGTTTTTGTTTTGATCCATTAACGTCATCACTATGGAAAACGTTATACTCGGTGTATCCAATTCGCATCGTGTTATCACATAACCGAGTTTGACCGAAAGCAGCAACAGCATTACTAACGCCATCGATGCTCTTCCATTCCGCATGCGAATTTTCGCATTTCCCCTGCATCACAAACGAATGGAGAGCTTCGAGTTACAATGTATTATGTACAACAATGTTTGCAGCTGGCATTGCCATCGTCGTTTTGCGTCATTCATTTGCAATGTGTATTTTTAACACACAATCCAAAATCGGGCTGCAAGCACACAAAGCACATGGCTCGTTCTTTGAATTGTCGAATGGATAAGAGAAATGAACGAATAAAAAAAACACGCTCATATTCATTTTACACATTTCGCCGTAATCATTCTCTCGTAACGTTGCACGGATCCATGTTGCCATCATCGTCATTGTCGTTGTCGTTGTCGTTGTCGACAAAGCGTTTTTGGTGACTCTATGCGTGCAGAGAACCGTTTGTTACTTATCACAATCGTGCTCTAGATATTCCAATTGATCGATGTGAGCGTGTGTGTGTGAGTGGTAACTAGCATTGATATATAGCCAAGTATATATTCGCATAGATTCACATGGATGCAATGTGCTGCTTCTGCTGCTGTTGCCTCACGATTAAATGGTAACATTTACACAAATTGTATAGTACAGAGATAAAGAAGTGAGCTAGCGCGCGCGAGATACAGTTTAAAATTTGATTGTTTGTATTTGGGATTTGTCGGTGTGTGTGTATGTATGTGTTCGCTTGGCTTGTTCGCTCGTTCGCATTCGAATGACGTCAAACGTGATGTGTTTGTGTGCGCTTTTTTTGTATTTCATTTCGCATACGATGCGCTCAATGATGCAGTGACGTCACAACACACATCGCTGTCGCTTTTATCCCAATTGCATTCCGAGATATGCATTCAGTTGGAGAGCGAAAGAGCTTTTCATTTATTTGATGACATAGATTTTCATGCACTGATGAAATGACTGCGCATTGTTTTCGCTTGATGTTGCTCGCTGCTATTGGTGCTGCTGATTCAGCTTTTTCTCATCGTGTGCCTCTTGATATTACACTTTTTGGTTTGTGATATTTGATTTTGCAAATATGATGTTTCAAAGTTCGCAATTTATCATATGAGATTTATTTTGTTCCCTGGAAAACGGAGAAACATGTACTTTGTGATAAAAAAAAAAAGACATTGTTATTGCCATATCATTATAATTTGCATCGTTGCTTCCGTTTGGGGCAATTCTTTCTCCGAAATAGCATCGGTGTACTTAACGTTGTGCGCTCGGCACAAAGGCATTTTTAATTTGGCATCCGGTCGAAAAAATTTATAGCAGATTATATTTGATATGTGAAGAATATAAATAACGACACACTTCTATCCTGTTGCGTGCACCTGTTTCTTTCGTGTGTTTTCTCTCTCTATTTCACGTTCCAATTCCGTATAATTTGTATTGAGAGAATATGGCTAAGAGGATGTATATGTATCAAGTGTCTTCAGTTCGTGCACAAATTATTTATTTATTATCATTTGCTCCATCAAGATTCGAGCAAGTTACGTGCACACACTTTCAAACGAGGTGCTTACGTAGGCTGATCAAGCTGCTTACGTATGCCCTATTCCATGAATGTCATGATATTTATTTAAGGACATTTTTTTTCCATGATGTGTGCTTCCTCTCCCTCTTTCTCTCCCAAACTCTCACTTTATCTCTAGCTTTCTCTGTCTTTGTTCCGTCGCGATTTAACCTTCATACGACAGTGCTAGATTGGGTCACCAGAAATCCGTAGCACGTTCAACGTAGAAAAAAAGATTATATATGGAAGAGGCTGAAGAGGAGTTGGGGGCGGTTGGGAAAAGTTAATTTGCATTTTTCTACGTTGTCTTTTGTGTAGCATATTTAATTTTCGGTTCGCACACACACACTCACACACACTCACTAACTTTCATAATTTTCATAGCAGTAATTTCTTCCGTCCGAGTTGATTGAATGAGTTCCCTCTCGATGATCCCAAATGCTTATGTGCGTATTTTTCCCATGCATGCACCGACATTTACGTTCTATTAATAGCCATTTTGTTTAACAAATTACGCCATACACCAAGGGCATACACATTCCAAGGCATATTCCGGAAGCCGTTTAACCAATATCCATCCGTGTTAAAGGACATTTATTCGGGGATATAGAGAGCAGCATCGCTTAAGTAAACAATCTCACTGAAAATAGTTTTCGTTGGAGGTGGTCGTTTCGCTCGTCTTCGATGTGCGGTGACCGTAGACGAAGTGCTTATTCTAATTTTTTGAATGGCACCCGCCCAGCCAATTGAATCCGACTAATATGTTATATACACACGCACACATACATACATACACATTCTCTTGGCCTCACTTGATTCTGCGGCTTATTTGCAATACGAACATTTCGGTGGTTCGGTTCAAGAAAATACCGTTCACTAATTGAAAATGCACATCGTCTCTCATGTTGGGTTTCTGCTTTATGGTTTTCCCTTCCCTGTTGATGGCTTAGATTTTGAGGCAACTTGGAAAATGTCATGCAGCACGAATGGATCTTCTCAATTTCAACGATTATCCTTCGAATAAATGGGCACACCGAAATGAATTCATCTCTCAAAATCGTTTAACCACATTTATTTACATTTCACAAATTAGTTTTTAATCTGATGTAGACAGACTGTCTGTGTGAATTTGGAATTGAGTGGAAATTCTCGCCTTAGTAATCAAGATATTATATTTATATAACCTAAACGGAACATTTCCGATTGCGGTATTTCGCTATTTCAATTCAATTGAATTGTCGTGCATGGATTTTACCACGGTATTATGTCTGCTTTTCGGAGACCATTTTTAATTTAATTACTAAACGAATGTCATTAGAATATTGAATATGATGTAAAGGGAATCCATACTATTGCGCTGATGCTTCCATTTATTTTAATGAGAAGAAAGCAAAAAAGAAAGATTCTTGTGACAGCCAAAAAGGAATTTTGTGAAATTGAAATGGAAATGAAAAAAAAAATCGCTGGCCTGAAATGGCAAAAAAAAAACATAAAACAGATCTCACCTTTACAATTGAAGCGAAACATGATACACATTCGAATGCTGCCGTATATTCAAATCAATATTTGAAGATTAAACGAAGAACGATTTCAAATTGCTCATGAATTTATTTCCGAATGGAATGTCGAAAGTAATTTAATTTTCGCTCCAAATAAGCTCCAGTCATATGTAGATATAGATAAACATCTAACACCAAATGATATAAATAGAGAGACAAAAAACATTAAAATGATAGAGAAAGCGGGGAGAAAGAGGGAGAGAGAGACGAAAACAGTTCATTGGATAATGTGCTCGTTTTGGAAATTGAACGCTACATATTGGAACGGGAAATGGCGAGTGTGAATTTTAGTGTTAAGTAAGAGCAAGGAATATTCAAATATTACACAAACAAAGTAGCTCGTAATGGTTTGTGTTAGCATCAAATGTTTTTCTTTAATTAAAACAGGAAAAACGACAAGGCGAAAAAAAAGGAGAGAGCAAGAGAAGCAGCAGCAGCAGCAGCAGCAGCCAGCAGTAGCAGAACATCCGAATGAGCAAAATGTTTGTACATTTATTCATGCAAATGGAGCAACATATTTCGAACTTTTGATTCATATTATTTTTGGAATGTGCTTCCGAACATTCTTCGGCCACATACACACACGCTTGTTCATCTACAATTCTGCTACATAAACACAAATACGCTCAAGTCGCACATACACGCATTTGGTGGTGCCTGAGAATGGTCGTGGAGAATGGGCATTTTTTGTTTGCTTGAATGAAATTAAAAACTTTTTCATCATAATTTTACACCTAACTTTTGTTTTTGTTGCTTTGAATAAATTGCCCTCTTTTGCTCTCTCTCTCTCTCTCTCTCTCTCTCTCTCTCTCACTTTCCGCCTCTACCACTCTTCGCCACTCTTCGTCATACTTCGCCGCTCTGGCCGATTGATATTAGTAGAAAAGAACTGT